AGAGAGAGAGAGAGAGAGAGAGAGAGAGAGAGAGAGAGAGAGAGAGAGAGAACGAGAGAGAGTGAGAGAGAGAGAGCGCGAGAAAGCGAGAGAGCGAGGGAGCGAGAGGGAGAGAAAGAGAGAGAGGAGGATAGAAGGAGCGAGAAAAAGAGAGAGATTACAATATGTTATTAAACATTAAATATTTTATAAAATTTTTCAGTTATACGATTTTAGTTAAATGTAAAATGCATAGAAATTATGAATAACAATGTAACAATTAGAATCGTTTTTCATACTCGGGCCATTGGGAATATATTTTGTAAACAATTTTTTTCAAAGAAAATTTATGAAATATATTTTGTATACATGTATCAATTAGACCAAAACTATATACACGATTTATGATATTCACGGTAATAGTGAAGATAATCGTACCTGATTATAATTGAATTCTCACGGCGATATTATCCTGAAGATGGAAGGCACGCTATCCGGCAATGATAGATTCTCAAATAACGGGCAACACAAAAGATGGACAGTCGTGATTCTGCATCTTTGTACTTGGGGCTAATCAAGCGATGAACGAGGTTTAACGAGTGGCTACCGGATCGCGTTCACAGAATACCTAATTTCACGCTAGTTTGCTCGCTGTACATAGGCGTCGACTCGACCGGAAATTTAAACCAAGTACGGATGCAGACTTACCGACTGGTTTGGGTACGTTTCGTTTGACCTGCATCCATTTGTAGGTGGGCACTTGCGTCTGCTGTTGCTGTTGTTGCGGGTGGTGCGCGTGCGGATGTTGCTGATGATGATGCCCGTGCTGATGCGGATGCTGGGGATGGCCGGACTGCTGTAAAACGTGATAGGTTGTCGTGTCCGTGTTCTCCTCCTTGTAGTGCCCCGACTGGTGTGCGGAAAACTCGCTCTGTCGAATCTGCGTGTGGTACTGCAAAGATTCATCCGACGGTGGCAACTGATGGAGATAGTTCGAGGTCCCGCCAACGGCTATTTGGTAATCGGGGTCGTGATGGTGATGATGGTGATGACTAGAGGACTGATGATGAAGTTGCTGATCGTGCTCCGTTCTTGGGTGACTAGCTTGAGGTACTGTGGTTTGATGGAGGTTGGTGGCAGCTGGTGGCGGATGGTGATGATGATGATGGTGATGGTGATCCTCCCGGTAGGCGGACTGCTGAACATGGTAGTTCTGGTGCGGATCCACCGAGGTTACCGCATGTTGTTGTTGATTCGTGTACGACGAGGACGACGCGTAATCCAGGTTGGTATAGCTCAAACCGTTCTCCGAAGAGATTATCGCTGTAGTAGAGCCATCCTCGTGGAGAACGGCGCCCGTCGGAGAGTAAAAGCCCTGTGGTGGCGTGCTGGACGACGCGCCCGACTCGGCGGTTAGGAAACTCTCCGAGGACGACGAAGAATACGGCGCCACTGCAGTCTGGGGGTAGTAATGAGTTGGAGCTATCTCCGGGGAGGCTGGCACCGACACGTGACCGCCAACGGATGATGGCTGGTGATGATGATGATGATGATGGTGATGATTTCCTTGACCCGAGAACACGTAGTTAGGATATGAGTCAGGCTTGCCGTAGGTCCCGTACATGCCCATGTCCATCATCATCATCCTCGTAGCGGAGAGACGAATGCATCAATTGACCATCCACCGTTTTATATCGTTTTGCTTTCTCGGTAACTCCGTCGAGTAACATCCAAAGCGGAATGCACAACAAGAGAATCTACATTTCGTTGAGAATTGTGCACTGCTTTCCTCAATTGGTCACTTCAACATTGCACGTATAGCGTCGAATGGTGTACTTACGAGCTCTTTGCTTCATACAAATATCACAAAACTATGAACATGAAAATTTGTCCAATTAAGCAAACTCTCGACGAACACAAAATTAGTTAGTACTCGATAGGATCTCAAAGTAGAATAATGTGTTCACATGAAGTCACAGGTGTAACTAGATATTGAATCTTCAAGCCGGAATCGTGGTCACATTTGTGCACTGAAACGTCACATAAGATTTGCATCAACTCGAATTTGTGAATCCATATAATCTCGCAGTAGATGTCTAAAATCCAAATCCGAAGTTAGTGTAGGCCGGTGGTCCGTAGCAAGCAATTAAAAGTGCCAATTCCCTGGTACTATGGAACTTTAACCGTCATCCGCGAAAATAATTCATGCGGGCATTCGTGCGGTCGATCCGTCCGACATGGGTCGCTGAAGTGGACTGGTTAGGTGGACTAGCTTGGCGGAAAGCTGCACACAGGTGAGACCGACCCGCGGTGGTGGTCTGGTGTGTCCAGGTTCTCCTTCTCTCTCTCGCTCAAACGTATCGGCCAGATATAGAGTGGAAGCATTGCGCTCAAGTAAGGTTAGTTTCAAGGGGAGTTCCATCGCCGGTGGGCGGACATGGAGAGGCGATCACGTGATAGCGTTTGGGCGGTGTCAGCCAATCATGGGCGAGTCTGCGCGCCCCGAGTCCACTACCTCATGATGGATCACCAGTGTGGATTTTATTTTTCGTTCCTTCTTTTTATCTGGCACGCTGCAGTTGACACTTATCGTCGCGGGTAGGAGTCGGGTATTATATCTTGGTACCCACCTTCTATGCTATCCGGAGGCAGGCAACCTCCGCCCTTCTATCCTGGATAGGTTGTTTTGTGCCTTCTGCCTTTTTTTCCTTCCGCGCTCTTGACGGATCCTTCTATGTGCTTGCGTGTCTCGCTCGCCTCAAGGTACCAGCATCCTGCGTTTTTATTATAACCTGACGGTTGATGGTTTAATTATAGATGCGGTCTATTCCGTTTTATTAATCAGTAAGAGAACCGGATTGCTGCTACTGGATGACCACGCTTTTCCATTATTTTATTAATCGTTTTCAGTAATATGTCTCCAAACGGGCAAGTAAATTTATGTAAAAGAGAAAGTAAAGCAAATTACACTTTCATATAGCTTCCGTGTGGATACTGTTGCATTGTCCAGAAAAGAAAAAAGAAACTGAAGATGGATAATTTAATTTGGTGGCTGTGTCACGGTAATAAATAAGAAAGATATTTCGGTTAGGCACGCGACGCACGAAACAATTTGTGACTCTTCAGAGGGCTGGGATATTCATCATCTCCACGTCATCGAAACCCTGACATGACAATACACTACTTCTAAAGTTATAATGAAGGGCCAGGTCGCATCTTGCGCCAAGTCTATAAAAAAATGTTAAAAGTTCACTATCGATTTTATGAAGAATTTTTACATCCAAAAAATATTTATTTATTGACTCTGAGTGATACAACAAAGGCTGTGTTCTGAAAATACTGACGGTATTGACAGTGCTGCTGCTGAAATCAATGTATTTTAACAATTAAATAATTTTCAACAATTAAAATTGTTAGTGGATTTTAGCAGCACTGAAAACATCGAAACGCATTTGCAATACATTTCAATATTAATAGAAAATATGTATGACATAACTTTGTGACTGTTTTTTTTTGGAAAATTGTATCTAAGCAATTGTAATTATTCACTTGATAATGCTTTTTCACAATAGTCAGGTGAAATCCTGATAATCGTGCTATTATCTAATAATTATTTCTCCTTTTCTTCTCTTTTTTCTCAATTATAGTCACTCAACTATCACTAAGCGACGGTCGCCACATGCATTGCTGGACTTACATTAACTTAAGACACCATACAGAGTTGTTGAAAGTCAGCAATTCCTAAGAATCCTTACTTAACTACTTAACTTAAAGGAGATCGTAACTTTTACTATTTTATATAACACGTCGGAAACAATTCCTCATATAACGTTGTTAGTACACCGCCAGCACATTTCAAAATTAAATATCGTCAAGAATGTCGCTGTATAGTGTAAATATCATATTGATTGTTAATAAAATATTGTTTCGGGTGATGTTTAAAAATGGGATTGTTAACATTTTGGCAACAAGAGTATATGAGAAGGGAGACAGAAGGGAGACAGGAGCTCGCTCGTCCAAAGGACGACGCATGACGGCACATAAGATACCTCTTACCCCGTGCGAGAGCGCAGTGACAGGATGACACATTCCACCGTGAGAGTTTTAGAACCGTGGTCCCGTATCAGCAGTTCAGTCAGAAGAGCTTATATCGAGGGCGCCACCTGCGGCCACCCGCGACATCCGTTCTGTCCCGTACATCAGCCCAGGGAATCTTCATCTTGATCGAGCCATAGTGACGTTTGATAGTCCTGATTCCCGCCGTCGGCTAATCTTTTTCACCCGAACGCGCACTTACATACCTTATCTCTATCGTAACGTAATTCGAAGCTTTCGTACTTTTCAACCACTGGATGTACCACTTGAGATTGCATCGATATAAATAAATATCGGATATGTCTGTACCGCGGTAGTCTTAAATCTAATCCCATCTTCTTTAATAAATTTCGAGAGGGAACACTGTACGTTATTGTTCCTTAATATCGAGAACTAATCGCCATCAGTGATTAAACATGAAATTGACATTTGTAAAAGGTGACTTGGATTTTACTGAATAAAACAAGAGACTCTCTTGTTTAAATTTTTTCTTCTTCTTTGTATTACATGTCATTACTTATTACATATAATAATCTTGCCATTTTCTCATAAAGTCAGTATAAGCATATAATGAATCCATCTAGGAAGAAATTAAGACCGATTAGTCTATTTTCGCACGAAGTTAATCCGCCCAAACCTCTGATGTTAGCAAGATGACACAGTAAAATTGGGATGTTATATGTGTTTTCGTGTCGATGTGACACGTGTTACTGGCCTGGCAAATACTTGGGACGTGTTTTAACGGAATTTGTAGGGATAAAGCAGATAAATTCGTGTTTAGCCCGATCTAATACCGGATAAATATCAGTAACCCTCTTTTCGGACGGCGCGCAAACTTCGACGGGGCTAATCCTGTTAAACAATTACAGTCTACTCGATCGTTCCAGTACCCATCTTTCCGTGCGGCGCCACGCTGAGTTTTGACGTGGGATGAGGCACCTGCATTGTCATGCTGAGCTCCAGTCGTTCTGTTACAGTCCACGCTTTTATCTGCAAGCCACAATAACCCATCGCCTCCCGAAGTGTTGTCTTTTTGTATTAAAACTCCTCCGTTTAGTCGACGGTATTGTTTACTTGTAGTCCAAACTGAGATTCTTACACTAGCGCTTGATAAGACGCTTATCGGACGTAGTGTTTGCATTTAAACTTATCGCACAATGATAAAATAACTAAGTTGGCGAAGTTTCTGTTATAATATTCTCTGTTATATTGAATATTATATTTATCGACGTGCGTCTCCTGCATGCAGAAAAGAACATACTGCATTCAAATAAATGTTCCTTGTTTCAAGTATTTCATAAGTTTATATATTCGCAAATCTATCATAAACGTCAAATTTATTCAGAATACGTTCTGAATTCTGATAAGCTTAGCATTTCAATGAAGAATATCGAATTAAAACAAAAATTCGGTTTGTTTAATCGAACCATCTTTTCCTTTGATAAAGTCTTATAATATTCTTGTAAAAAGAAAAATTCCTCTCTCTTTTGAGTACATGATATTAAATTTTTCTAAAATTTGTGATGAGTATATTATCAAGAAAATATTCTTTCTTGAAGATAATAATTACCTAAAAGAAGGAAAATAAACTGAGTAACCGTTTTTCTTAGCAATAGAATGATATTTTACTATGTGCAGTGAAACGTTATTAGTTAGCTAATTTGAGAATTTTACTAGCATCTCGCAGAGATGCCAGAAGAAACATGGGGGAGTATCTAGTTCTGTTAATTCGCTGGGAAATATTTACTTTCTTAAGGATGCGGTAAAACTTGACTTCTGTCGACCTCTGCGGATTATATCTGAAAAATGTATCCGACGGTAATTGTACGGCATATTTGGATATCACATTTTAAATAGCGTCTTTGAGTGTTGGACGACCTGTCCGTCAAAGATCGAGTCACAACAATTCAGCGGGTGGCTACTGACAAACAGACAGCTGTCTGTTGGAAGAATCACATGGGATCTCCAGGAGGATTCCGTCTTTATAAAAGTGATGCGCTTCACTCCATTGAAATGTCATCAATATCCTGCGGAAGACTTGGAAGTTTTCAAGCTTCCAGGTGAAATAAAAGAAAGGAAGAAGGCTCGGCTTAGGACTGAAATTTTCGGTTGACTTTTCTCGAGGGACAGAGACTTCATATTTGTCCTTTCATCGCGTCCGTTGTAACTAACATCGAAATTCGTATTATGAAATATTACACGAAGGTATTACATTACATAACACATTAAATATGTAAGAGATCACATATTTATAACGTTTATTTTGTGACGTCGAATCAATTACGATGTGTGTGAATCTCTTTCCAAACACTGTTACTCAATCGATCTTCTGGTCAGAATTTTCCATAATTCCGCCCATTTTCGAAATGGCGTCTGGGTTTTTTTTTTTGTACAACGCTCGCACGAAATCGTATCAGGGACATGGGAAACCCAGCACAATGAAGTCATCGATCACTCTGCATGAGAGAGACTCGATTGCTGCTCTAACTGTGCGAGGTCTTGTCGACTTGGGCATAAATGTAACTGTAATCAAATAAATTTACAAATAATAACGCTAAGCGTTAGTTGTTCCGAGACACATCGCGTTTAAATGATATGACTTTTCGGGTCACACGCCGGCACGAAAATTTTTTAGACAAAGGTAGCGAAATGACGGTAAATTGTGTCAGCAGGCGCGGAATGACTTTGCAATGTTCTATATGGCATTTCATTCAACCTGACTCACAGCTAGTCTATTGTACGTGTTGATCGTATCGTGGTAAATATTGAATAAATGTAATTAGGTGCTGGTGTTAGGAGGGCGCGTGCATGCGGTAGCGTTATTCACTCAAACGATCCTGATGAGTATGTAATTTTTGTGTGTCCGCGTCTCTATGCGGCGGTAGTGGCGTTGGTGAGAGGAAGCGTTTGAAGCAAGAATTAATCAATCATAAATCGATGCTGATACTATTTCCTTCAAAAGTGTCTCGTTCATTTATCTAATTCAATATATACAATCTAATTCAATATATACAATATATACTAGATATAATTCAATTCAGTATACGCTATAATATAGGCTGGAAGGTGTAAGTATCAAAAGTAAAGTAACAGTTATTACAATTATATGTTTCTGCATGTATAAAAAAGACAATGCATTTGCGACGATATTTGTTTTAAGAAGTATCTATAAGAGAATATTCATACCCTATTTCGCGAATTCGTGTTATATTTTCCTTCATATTTAATGACATGAAATCGATGAACATGTGTCGTGTAGGGTTGATGTTTGAGGGATTACGTTTCGTGCCCTACTACAACGAGAAGGTACGGCTTGGATCTGCCCTATGACGCACGAATATCATAGCCGCATGAAGGAGAACGTGCATCCACGGTAATAAAGTTAGCATGGTAATTATGACAGGCTCGTTACCAGCACGTCGCTACGGGATATGAAGTGCTAATGAATGGACGCGTCGAACCAAGGGGTGGCTGGTACGAGCGTGTATTTCTGTTTCGTTCGTAAATAAGCCTCGGATAGCAATGCTGGTGTCTTTTATTTAAACTATTAAGGATATATATGTAGACATGTAATATTAGTTGCATGTGTATGAATAAGTATTTATATATGTAAACTTTTTTTCAACGACATATACATGTTGAAATCCTGAAGGCGTAAAATGTTTAGAATACAATAATATATAAGAACAATAACATTATGTAATAAAAATTATATAATAACATTATATAATAAAAACATTGTATAATAAAAACAGTTACAAAAGTAGCAACATATAATGTTGCTGCCTTTATCCTACATTTTTGTTATAACAAAGACTGCAAAAGTACACTCTAAGAAAATTGCACTTTTAAAATATTTGTATTAACATCTTTTTGTACTAACTATTTAACAATAGAGATCGTAATATTACAAAAACTTATGTTTTTAATTTTATTTAAACTGATCTGGCATTAGCATGTTAATTCTTATCGTTGATAAGATTCGATGAGGCTTGAAATATTTGGTAAAGATAAGATTATCACCGCGAGTTTAACCTGTCTCCGTGGATTTTTTCATACAGTCATCAAGTAAATACAACAGTGTGTGTTTTCTTCTCATCTACGCGACTTATGTGAATGCTTCAGAATCAGTATCAAGACTAAGATACTATATACCGAGACCAACAGAGCAGAAGAAGAAGAAGAAGGAGGAGGAGGTGAGAAGAAGAAGACGACGAAGAAGAAGGAGAAGGAAGGAGTCTCGATATAGAGATGAGCTCGGTAGGAGAAGTGGAGGGATAGACTTGATTTCAGCGTCATTACACAGACGTGGCGTTGGCCCCGAATTAATTGAATGCAGCGTGTGTTGACAGGTAGGCATATTGGCAGGCAGACACGAAGGCTGGAGGAAGCGCGACAGAGACGATGGGACTGACCGACCAGGGTTTGTGTCAGATGCGGTCGCGATATCAGGCTCGCGTCCACAGTTCCTCCGAGACCGTGTACCTGTCATTTTCGGTGACCGTGTCATTCAGCCTCTCCTTCTTTCTCGGATCCCTTTCTTCTAACTAGCGACGCTGCCAGGCCGGGAAAGATCCGATATAGAATTCGTTTTAGCTGCATCTGCACCAAGAGATAAGAACAGGTACCTGCACTTAAGTCACTTGGATTCATTGCGACTAATTAGTTATGATATCTAAACATTCTTTTACTCTTTGCTCAGCGATCAGTAATGATATATGACGATCACGACAAGTGTGGAAACATTTGACTTTGTAATTATTTATAATCGAATATTCAATGTGAAATGCGAGTCTCGCGAGTGACTTCTATTTTTAATGCAAAAAAAAAACAACATTCTTATGTTGTTAATAAGCAACGAGTACGTTGCTTCGATAGTTGCGCTCTAAATAGCGAATGAATCTACACGGATTCCGTTATTTATAGTGATCGATGTTTGTTTACTTTTTCGTATAAAGTAATAACAAAATGCGGTAGGTAAGCGCAGCAGCAGCGATCAAAAAGACCACAAGCAATACCAAGAAAAATGTTCCGAGCAACAGAGTCAGTGAGACGAGAAGGTAGTTGATGTTACTCAGCGATGTTATTCAGCAATTTGGCTTCGGTCCTGTTTCAAGATTCTTATCAACGCTGTTAATTAATCCTTTTCAGAGACGCACGAGAAAAGATACTCATCGTCGTGAAGATAGTGATCCGGACTCGAAGCTGTCGGTTCGTAATAATCGACAATCTCCGACGCAACACGCTCGATTGCAACGGAACCAAGGAGCCCGGGCGTAGTGGTAGCTCAGTTGGGCCTAATCTCCCAAATTTAAGATTCGCCCCGCGACTTATTTTTCATACTCGTGAACTTTTGGCCGCAAGTGGCGATATTTTTCAATAGCCGCATATTTCGGGACCGTGGAGAATTCTAATTATGTGTGGTCCCCATCTGTGTGCTTATATGCTGCTTTCGAGCATGGCCGACTGCGTCCGTAGCCCTTCGGGTCCCGGGCGCGTTGGCCCAGGTACATGGGAAGTCCCAAGAGAGACTCGGCGAAACCTACCTACACGATCCTACACTTTGTGAGACCTCTCGTCACGTCCCTGAGGATTCGTATTTCTAGTCACGCGTTTAATCCGCCGGAACATGCAACTGACTCGTCGTTCCTCGAAGTTGATGACTGGCGTTCGGGAAAGTGCAAGTTTGCAAAATGTTTAGGAATTCGCGTCTGGCGTGCGCTGCGGACGTGTGTGACAGATACACACGGAATATATTTGTAACTCTCGCCATAGATATAAGACGTTTAAAAAATGTCCCCATTTGCTCGGTTCCCATGTTCGGTTTTCTCTCCTCTGTCTATAATCGAAGTGATTAATCGTTGCGGCCGATTGCTGTAGACACCAGGCTTCCTTGTGGTGTTTATTTAGAGTCCATGGTCGTTCGAATTAACTCATCGTCAGAGGATTAACATGCAATCCCGTGCATAATCCCAAGTAGCTACTGTGGAAAGATACCGCTAAGCAAACCGGCTCGGACGATGAGCAGCGGATGTTTCATGTTGGTATACGCGTCGAGTGGGTGGAGGTGAACAGGTTGTCAATGGGAATTTCGAGTCTAGTCTACGGAGATGTCTGGTCTTATAGGCCTCGGAATCAGGACTATATCCTTAGGGACAGATACGTCAACGTGGACAACGCGAATGGTGCCGCCGTCGCGTTTGCCGTTGTTATTGCATCCGGTTGGGATCGCACTATGGTTTTATACAAATAATACTCGCCCACCCTTCGTAACCTTCTTATTGAATTTCGACTATACTACATCTTTTGAAATGTTAGCTGATACTGTAAATGCATTTTGTTTGTATCCTTGTAAGGTTATGTCTTAGCGTTCGCTATATTTTATATTATAGGAAATAATTATTACTAGGGCAGAGCCCAGAGAGCAATGGATGGACAAAAAACATCCCAAAGGATCTTTCATTTAAGAAATATATAAGTTTAACAGAAGATACACGTTCGATATAATCGCGTCATAAGAGAGTGAGCGCCCGTTTACTTTTTACTTGCTACTGCCTACTATTCAACTGAGTAATCGTAACAAACTTAAACCTAGTTGTTCTGGTTGTGCAAAACAAAATATTGCGTTTAAGTAAATGAGTCAATATCTAAAAACTACTGTATATTATATTTCCGTAATACTATGTAGCATCTAACATTCTGCGATCTGTTCGTTTTCATTGCTTACTTGGTCTGCTTCAATTATAACTTTTACACAATAATTGATGCCATAGATTAACAATCTAATGATCCAATTATTCAATGATATTTATCTTATTAGAGCATTAATTCAATCAGTCCAATGTTATTTGTCTTATTAGAGTATTAATTTTGACGAGATTTTAATTATGTGCCGAGCACTTTTAATAATCGTGATCTTCTAAAGCATTTCTTCCTTTCTCCGTGCTTGTGTTTATTTCTCTCAGACGTGGAAGTATCGCGAGAGCCGCATATTTCGTCGTTATGGGGTGGGAAAGGAGGAAGAGTGGTGCTCGATCCATCAAAACTGCATGTCAGTAGCCATTAGCACGCTCCCACCGGCGCAGCACAGAGTGCCTCGGCTTCGCATATCCACAGACCGCTCATATGCTGCTGTGCGTAGCGGTACTCGATGCGTACCTCATATACTTCTTCCAGCATGTCTCCGTTTTTCCGATGCCGTTCGTTCTCGTCGAAACTGCTCAATAAACGTGCTCTCGGTCATTTTCTAACATCTTTTCGAGCCCTCTTGGACAACGATCGTCACTTGATATTTAAAATGAAGTGCAAAATGATACGTAAAATGAAGTGTTTGAAGATGCGACAATTACTACGGAACTTAAAAGTAATAATGCAAATATTTAACAATGCATACTTCCAATTAAATTGAAAGAAGCAAAGAAAGGAGGAGGGAGAGAGAGAGAGAGAGAAGGAGGGATGCTTTGCGGAACTCCAATTCAAAAGTAATATTAATTTGTTTACGAGGAAGCTTTTCGTTATCTCGCTACGGTAGGGAATAACCGACGGGAACAGAATAATTTTCGATGGATTTCCTGAGACCGGGGTTGGTTCCGCATTTCCAGCAGCGAGCAATAGCTGCAGCGACCGCACCGACGGCAGCGGCAACAGCAACTGCAGCTTTAACGGGCGGCGACCATCCATCACGAAGGTGTCAGCCTCCCTCTTCGCCGAGAAACAACTAGCTATGACATTCTTTTCGTTGCCACTGCCTCCATTCGCCTTTGCCAATTCTCGCATTCGTATATCCGTTACTTTGATAGTCGTTTTTCTTCTTTATTCAGCCACCCTTATTCTTTGTTTCTTTGCGCGCTTGATGAACAAAACATTCATTAATTGATAATAATTTATAATTCTTGTTATATTTTACATTATGGAATGTATGAGAGAGACACATGATATAAAAAGCGGCGAGGAAATACAGAAATAACAATCACGAGCACTCAGATCAAGCGTCAATATCCCGTAAACGAAAAACGTGTATCACGAAACAACGTAGTGCGTTACTTCTAACTGACACATTAGCCGAGTTTCCGGCACTGCTAAGGGTAGTAACGTTTTAATTAAAACTGACGTTGTCGTCGGTAAATACGATAGCGCGAAGGAGAATCAATCATGCTGCTTATGCGTGTCTGCTGATCGTTACGTGATAAAATGCGTGTCTTGAACATGTGTAGGCTGCTCTCAATGAGACGTCTTAATCGGCGCGGCTATAAGACCATAAGACGCACTTTTGTGTGTGCGCGTTTTTATTGATTATTTCGTGATGGTACACAAGCGAATAGAAATTCTTTGTAGCCGTGTGTGTATGTATGTATGTGTGTGTGTGTGTGTGTGTGTGTGTGTTACACAAGCTGGCGCGACCTGGAGACGAGCTACGAAGACGGTTGTGCTGAATGGATGAAGGATTTAGGCGTAAGTTCGGCAAAGCCTGTTGACAACAGATGCCAGTTGTGAAGTTTTTCGGGGAACGTGGTTCCGCATAGGGCAACGTACAGTTCTATTTGTTGGATGATTGTACTGCTGCGAAATCAAGTCTGACGAAGATCGATCGGGCAGCATTTCAGGCGTCAACACCGGATCGCTGATTCCCCTCCAGTGGCCCGAGTAAGGTCGTATTCGCTGCCACTTTCTCGCAGATGCTGCCAATCCCGACTGAAGTTTCTATTAAGAAATTCTATTTAACGGAAACCATCTAAAATCTCTATTCAGCAACGGTGAAAAATTTTGTCGGCATTGCTCTCTTCAAAGAGAACGAATTATTTTGTAGCGTCATTAGAATCACACAGATATTAAACTTACGCAGATGTTTCTTCTGTAGAAATTTAGGGGACAGTAACTTTTATGAATTTAAATATACTTCTTCTATCTTTCCTTTCAAAAGTTTCCTTTAAAATTTGGTTGTTTATGTTCAAAAAATCGTATGACGCGCGCATGATGAATATGAATTGAATTTTAAGGAATAGTAGTAAACACAATAGTTATACACAGATAAAATAAAGAAGAGAAGAAGAGAGAGAAGATTATTTAGTGATAAAAAGAAATTGTTATGCTGCCAAACGTCATATATCAAGTTGCTAAATCAATAAAGGGAGTAATAATTTTGGCTCAATTGTTATGGTTTATTCACCAAACGTAACTTAACCTTAATTCTATTCTTATTTAATCAAACCATTTTAGATTATTATCCGTGTACATCGACGCAATACATTTTAAGCGATACATACTTTCGAATACAGAAAACGGTACTCGAAAACTCATCGATGAATATGTTACTTTCAAGCCGACAAATTCCTAGCGTTCCTAGCGGAGGAATCTACATGTTGTTCGAAAGAGGGCACAAAGGTTACAGAAGATAACGATTATTTTCGTGATTGAACATGAATTTAATTTTTTTCAAAGCTCACAGATTTTACATTAAACTGTAGTAAATGTCATAGTTTATAGTTTAAAGATTCACACTTAGACATTATTTTTAATATTTGTTTCTGTGCAATTCGTATATATGCTTCAAATCAGAGTTGCGCCGTAGATTTCAAAATTATAATATTGCTCACGTGACGTATACATCGTATTTTTCATGTACAAACAAGATGGGATTATATAGAATATTATAAAAAAATTATATTAAAAAAAATATATATATATTTTATATTGTTTATAACAATATATATATATATATATATATTGTTTATATTTTATATTAATTATAAATATAATATATAAAAAAGATAATAAATTGCATGGAATTCTTATTTTAATATGAGACGTATTGATAGATTCAATTCTGAAGGTAAGAATATAATCAGAGAATTCCGTGAACTTTCACATGTTTAGGAAACAAAGTTTATGAATTTTTACATGAAGATTCTAAAGATTGAGTAAAATTTTTCTTGATTAATTTTTTAGCAAGACATATGTCGTTTAAACGACATAAATTACTCATTGTTTACATACATGATATTTTATAGTTTGCGTTGTCTACACGTAGACATTGGCCGCGTTCAGTAGAACAAGTGATCAGTAAGCGCTCAGTGAGCTCTTGCATCTGATTGGAGTATAGTTGGAGATCTAAAAGAATATGCCAAATCATATACAAGAGCTCCCTGAGCGCTTACTGATCACTTGTTCTACTGAACGCGGCCATAGAATATCATGATCCAACGCTCAACCCTGCTTCATATTCTAGATAGTTTCCTACATTTCACAAACAGAAGAAGGAAGGAAAGATATTTATCATAGGTTAATAATTGTATCATATCATTTGTTGTTAATTAGAAATTGTAATTACTTACTACAGATATAAGATGATTTACCTTCGTTAGTTAAACGAATAAACGTAGGATAATACACTTACTTTATTTATTCAAGATAAAACGAATTTCTTCTTTATCTGCATTCAGTATAGAGTGTGTGTACCCACAGATGGTAAGGAAGTAAATTCACGACGGTAAATTAGAAATTCGGTCGGTTTTAATTTCTCATAAGGATATTCGTGGAATTTCCCATTATGCGGTATCATGGGAGGGAAAATTTGTTTGTGAGCCGTGTCACATAGATGTCATAAACTTAGTTGAGTTTCTGCACATACTAAACATGAAACAGCTGTTGTGCTTCCTCGGCTGAGGGTGGTGTCTACTGTCAGATGCTCCGCCTATAAATCAAATGTACCTATAGCCAGGAGGGAGACATGCCGACGCCATGTTAACATACATAAACAAATGCTGTGTATCATAACTGATAAACGGCGATACCAGTATGTAACAACCAATGTTACCCATAATAGAGAGCTATATGTCTCTTGCACTCTTTCAGAATTGTTTTTCATATTACTATAAACTAATAATACGTATCAATTATAAGTTGTAAAAATATATAAAGGGTAATTTTTATTCTATCGACGTACTAGTAATATGATATTGTTGTTTAGGTTTAAAAATAATTTTAGTTTTGACAATTTGTATCACGCACATTCTATCTTGTGATAAGTATATTAAAAAATATTCTTTAATTTATTTAATTTTCGAAAGTGAGAAATGTTTTTTGTAATAATATTGTACTTTCGCTTAACTGTTAATTAATCTTTGTTAAATGACAGAAATCTTATCGTTATTTTGAGACCTTACTTCTATTAATTATTAATAAATAAAAATTATTACGTGTTAGTGATAAAATTTATAAAGAAAAACAGGAACAGTTATGATTTTTATGACTGTCCAGCAAGCAATATGATGTGAGCGATGGACAAAGATCACGAATTGGCTAATGGTTGAAGGTGCCGGTCTTGGAGATCCTGAGACTAATCAGTACAAGCATTAATCTTCCGAGTGGATCCTCGACCTAATTCTCGTAAGGTCAAGTCGCAATGGAGACGTTGATTGGATTTCACGTCAAACCAGAGATAAACACCTTTCCTATTATTTCGCGCTATCCATTTCTCTTTTTTGCATCACTCTCCTCACAGCGGAAGTAAATTTTATTTAAGCGTTTTGCATACTTTTTCTTGATCAATCTAACGACCGTGAGCTATGACAGCTGACATAGTTTGCGTTTGCTGATTAATAATTCTTAGATCTCGCCATTTATTTTAGCGATTTATTTGATTAATCTGTTTTTTAATGCTTGACATATTAATAATAATAATAATAATAATAATATTCGGGCGAGGTGTTCCGCGGTGAATATACGACTGCGATCTGTCATTAATTAAAAATTAACGGATTACTAATACCACCCGCGGCGCGTTTGGGAGCAGGAAGATATTACTAGGTAATTGTAAACCGCAGCTTCCAGCTACTATGGACCGTTTATCATCGTCTCTATAGCTACCGGGTCGTCGAGTGAGGAGGTTCGGGGGTTCACCATGCTAAGAGTTGAAACCTCAGCATGACTGGTGGCCTCGGTAGCCGATAGACGTGTCATTTATGCGTCTACGAATCAATAGCCGCTTCACTTTACACCCACCTTACATCATTAGTCATTTTATAGGGCCGTTCTGCTCCGTTACACACGCACGCATTTGCCCGAGACTGATTTGTCGTCTCATCTCAACGTAAGTCTATCGCTGGGGAAGACTGTAGGCCCGTCGGTTACAAGTAATCGAATTATACCAATGTCCCATCAACTGAATTGCCTACGAAGCTGTATTTTCATTCGCGTCATTATTGATCTTTTAGTCACTAAAATTGCAAGTGTCGTAAATGAGAAAACGAGTTCGATGTTACATCAGATGTAGCGTAGTCAGTTTATTGGGATGCGTCTTGTTTAAGTCTGATAGTAAGTAACATTCGAACCGTGGTGTGACACAGTCCAACTCACCATCGATCGCATATTCTCGTCGTCTTTTTTCGAAATATCCGGATGGACCGTATACCGATTGTTTTATGATTGTAGAATCATAGTTACTGATGTAATAATCAAAGTAAGTATCAATTGAGAGGTAACGTTAGCCTGCAAGCAGACATACTTGATTAAATTCGCAACGTTTACTGCTAGTTGCAAACAAAACGACGGAGACTTTCACATTTTGAAATTTTTCGTCTTTCTGTATTATTTCGATTCTCGTCTAAACTAAAAAATAATGCTGGATAATGAGACACATGAAAAAATAATATGGTTGGCTCGCACATAAATCTAATTGTGTCAACCAGATTCAACAGTAAAATACGAAACAACTAATTATGTGGTTGCTGCGACTACAGAACGATATTCGCTTGCTCTAACGAGAATGTATCCACAGTAAATCTTATTCCAACCGACTTCTGATTGCCACAATCAGATTGACACAACTACATTGATGTAGTTGACGTACCAAAGTAACAGTCATATCGGTCATATACATTACCATCACACAACGATAGCTAGAGTGATGCAATTATGCTGCTCACAACTAAAAATATTTCTGGTTGTGCGGGCACCTTTTTCTTCCGTGTACCTTTCCTCGATAAAACATGATCCTAACTCCTGAGTGACTTGAGGTTAAATCAAGAATCGATCGTCAAGTTCCAGCGTATCCTCAAGGGAGATTAAAGAAGCGGACGAGCCCCGCTCGAAAATAAGTTTCACAATTTCGTTGTTGCCGGCAACGGGAGCGCGAGGCGTGTAAGATTCTATTTGCGGTAGGCGAACGAGTTAACGGACGAGATGATCGCAAGGTGTCTCCGTGATTAAAACTCAACGCCGTATATACACTGAAGAGCCGAAGCTCCCGCTTCCTCCATCTATCATGCGAACCATGACAAACCGAGCCTCAAAAGCGGCCGCCAGCATAGCAGCGCTTTCTTACCTTCTTCACTTAGTCACCGGGCGCTCAGGTGAGCCTCTATCTGTCTGATATACGGGACCCCCTATTCTCTATCTACATTTATTAACATTTAAGCGTTAACGACATTTCTCTCGTGCGCGCCTTAGAAGAAAAGGAAGCAAGAACCGTTGTCGGCTACTCGTGTCTTGCCGCCTTCCATCTCGCGACGTTTTTCGATTTTCGACGCGGCTTTTTGTCTCGGGAAACTGTGCGAAATCGATTAAATAAAACAATCGCGGCGATCTCTGTGCGTGCACGCCACATTAATTAATCTATTTTGGCCATGGAGTATATTCGCGACGTTGAATATCTCCGCGTCGCTCCGCGGCGTTCCTGTGCCTGCGAATTAACGATTATAACGAATCGCGTCGGACAGAATGAAAGATACGAGCTGCAGCTGCGATAGTGATGCTTGCTGCGGATCAGGCTGAAAGTCGTAGGAATCCATGCGTTTCCTGCTTAGCGGATATCGGATGGAAAGCAAAGTGGCGTGAATGAGTCGTCCCTTGACGATCGTAAGATTTATGGTCGCGACGGTTGGGCGGAAAGGGCAAGTATCGCACGACTCGAGGCTAGTAACCCTTGACTCTGCAGACTCCGAAGCCAACCCTCGACGCCCCGATATGACCATGATAGCGTCGTATGATTGACGATAAAGATATATATATATATATATATATATATATATATGTATTGTAAAACCTTGGGACTGCGTATCCGTGTCCATTGAGATGTTCCCGTGAATCCCTATTGATGTTCTCACAACGCTCCTACATTCAGCAGCAACGGTTCGCTGAATTGTTGCCGCTGACGCGATCGAGCACCCCATAAATGTTGTCGCGCGGGAACAATGCGCAGAAGGAGTATCGAGTGTGCAGGTCAAAACGCAATTTTTGTCCTCCGACCGAGGTTTTTTCTGTCCTGTCCGGAAGACTTTTGGCCTTTGTCGGGAAAAAAGTTAATAGCTTCGAGAAATTAGCCGATGTGGGGAGGATCGTTGATCGGGGGTCGTGTTTCGGGAGGGTGTTCTGCACAGATGCAACGATAGCAACAGTTCGGCTCGCTCGGACCAGAGGCCACATATGAGCTCGAAGCTATGGCGTCGTATGGGCTTGACTCACACGCATCACGCGTAGTCATCCATCATTGTCAGTCTCTTCACTGGCACAGCCGTCCGTCCTAGCAGCGGACGGGGTTCTCGATTTGAGTTTCTTTCGTTAAAGTTGTGATTTTGTATGAAACGTCAAAATACTCTCAACGATACTGTATCCGTTATTTAACAACAACGATTCCTTCCGCTTACAAGTTGTACATTTAGAGAAGAAGGAAGGGAGGGGTGGGGACAGGGGGAGGAGACAGGAAGAAAAAAAAATGTGGAGAAAGTAACCGTCTAGATTTTTTCTAACTTTACTCGATCGTGATAAATTAATTTATGTTCGTACGGATTTCCCTGGACGTAACAAATGGTGTGTAATCTCTGAATAGAATGTAAAGTTGACACGGTGTGTAAGAACGTTCCTAAGAATAATATTTCAATTCAATTGCTCCGATATTTCGGATCATCCATCATCGTCACTTCCATCGCCCGCACAGCAAATCGCACCACCTACGATCGAAATTCACGCGTTCTGCCTCCGTTCATGGTCAGTCCTTCGTTAAAGTTGCGATTTCCCATATCGTTCGTTGACTTGTGACATTTTCAAATTCGGTCCGCCTCTCACGGACACTTTTAATCGCAGAAATGCTTAAGGAGAGGTTCGGCCGCGCGTGACAGAAAAGAAGAAAGACAAAAAAGAGATGTAAGAACGCTTTTTACTTTTCACTGTGACCTGTATTTGCCAAATGTGTCGGTGAACGAATGTACACGTGTGATAACTTCGTTTATCGTGTCAAGGGCTCACTTGCAACACAATTATACAGTTAGAATGAATAAACAATATACGGTTATCGTATACGCATTATGTACATGAGATAGTCTTTACATGAACAATGACGGCGTCTAATGTTTTATACAAAAAGGACTGCATATTAAATATATTGCCGCGAGGTGAAAATTAAAGTTACATCCCTACTTATGTTTACATTTATATTGCTAAAAGAGCGATAATAATTTATTTGGTTTGCTTAAAGTAGCGCTAGTAGAGATTAGAAAAGAAACGCGGTTTGTGAAAAAATGACGTTACGCCCGCACAGTCTGAAGATGCTGAATTGCTGAATTTTCGATGTATTGCTCAATGATACTCGATATTATTCAATGACATGTGTACGTATGTATGTATACAACATAGAATTATATATCGATCTGAATTCATTTTTTCACAAAACGGACAGCGCAGATAATGTTTTTACAAGTGCGTCTGTTTTATTTTCAATAGTTTTGACCAAGTAACCAATTTTTACTATACTCTATATTTAATAGGAGAGGACGACTCTTTTTTTTTCTATATAAGAGAGTGATAGACGTCTATTTCTTGTGTTTAATTAAAACTAACAGATTGTACCTATTTCACTTTTCAGAAGTTGTGTACTCGGTATAGTAATCGTGTATAGATGCGATTTTTCTATTTATTTGTGCTCCATTAATCTATCTATCGTATGATATATATGTACACAGTTGCATTATTTATTATTGCTCATGAATCTACAGTTTCGTTTCGTTTTGTCGTTTAAGTCAAATTAAGAAATCGTCTAAACTACATGAAAATCATCCCGTTGTGTATACTATATTAATTATCACATGGAAATTAAACATTTGTAGACGTATACAAAATAATGTGGACGCTTCCTGAAAATTTTGTTGAATATTCTCGTGTTGTCTCGTTTCCGTGTATTCTGCGCGCTTTAATCGAACATGCCGATAACTGAAGTTATGTCAGAAATGAGAGAAACGTCGCGTCGATGATTTATAACGGTTTTGCTGACGAATGGCTTTTTTAACGAAACGTTAACGTAGAGACTGTTCGCAGCAAGATTGCACTTACATCTCATGTTTCCATTCACGAGAATCCATTGTATCGAAATACCATTAAATTCCCGTGTCACAACAGCGAATCTTTGATATATTTACAACATTTATGCACATTGTTAAACCACAGCTCGTATATATCAGTCTAATATCACTCACAAGTCCACTTCACATTTCTCACGCGAATAAGTGTGCGTTTCATATCGAAATAGTGGCGATAAGTTCACTCGCGGCGTCGCGAAAATTTCGAAGGTACAGGAACTCTGTTATCGTCGTTCCGAGATTTAACATTAACACAACCATTGCACTCGTTGTCACCGTTTTTGTATTTCCGAAATATCCTGCAACGTTTGCGATACAAAATAGCGGGGATTACATACATCATCTCGAGCGAGATGAGGAATATCGAGATCGATATTACTCGGACGAAATGTAACTGATGGAATTATAGTCTGGGATATATCGTTACAACAGTACGTTAGAACAGTCGACGGTTTCTCTGGTAACCCGGATTACTTGAGATATGCTTGCAGTTGTCAAAATCAAAGATGGAGTACAAACGTTTCAGGTTTCATTATATACAAATATGCTAAGTCACACATACACGTACACACAATCCTCGTCGCTCGACCAATTGAATCAGTACCGAAAATAATTTCGTCAGATTTCCCACGAGGAATTACTTCCTCGGACCGGGAGACACCCGGTGAGGCTTCACGCGTTTCGATATCCTCGGCCGAGTCACTTTTTCTCCTCGCACGAGTTTCCTTTACACACGATAATCCTAGATCACGAGTATGTACACAAATCACGAGAAATTTTTACACAGCGATCACGGAGCGAGTTCTTCAGTACAGGGCATTGAGCAGGCATTGCTCGTCGCCCCAATCCAGCTGACAAGGGTTCTCGGTCTCGTGGACTCAGCTGAGCTGATAGTACTCGGGCACGAAGTCGTTTGCCAGATTGCTGAGGAAGTTGAAGTCGGACGAGCTGTTGCTGTTGTCGGCGGACGGCGGCGGCGCGGCGGTGTGTACCGGTTCGCCGTAGAAATTGCCGTAATTGCCGTAGGACTCGTTGTTGCTGTCAGCCTGGCCGGCGCTTCCGGGTGGTGTGATAACCGCCGCGGTGGCAGCTGCGATCGCCGTCGCGGTTGTCGTCATTCCGGGCGCTGGGAACGGATCGGGCGATGAGACGTAACTGCTCGGGATGCTGGCGGCCTCGCCGCCCTGATGAACGTGCAGCTGACCGGTCTGTTCGTAATACGCACTCGGGTGACACTTGTTCCCCGGTCGATAGTCGCCGGAGCCGGCGGAGTGCATGGCCGGCTGATGAGTCACGTAGCCCTCGGCGCTGTGTTGCTGGGAATGTTGTTGTTGCTGTTGCTGTTGTTGTTGCTGCTGTTGTTGCTGCTGTTGAATATCGTTGTAATAATGCTGCGCGGTCTGCACGGACACGGCGGCGTGACCGTGCGCCGCCAGATTTTCGCTCGCCCCGTGATAGCCGCTGCTAGTCGAGTAACCATAATTTCCAGACGTCATGTAGCCGTCGGTACTCTGCTCGCTCTGCGCGGCTGAGTATCCTCCTTGACCGGAGCTGTAGGCATTGGTGCCTTGCATACTCCGGTGATAAGAAGCGTGATAGGGTGGCCCAGCCTGAGGATATCCATTGTATTCCCCGGTGCTGCCGTACTGCGACTGTTGCTGTTGGAACTGCATGTTGGCGCCGTACATCGACCTCGACGCCGTGCCCGCTGCTCTGACATGATGCGCCATTCTTGATCCCACCACCTGGTTCTGTCTCACGTATAGGGGATGCACCTCGGCCGGATATGAGATTCTTGGCTGCTGGTACGTGTCTCTGGAACAGTAACCGCTCTGCATCTGAGTTTGTTGCGTCGCTGTCGGTACGTTTTGTCTGTTGGCGGACAGGCCGTTTCGGTAATCGAGCGCCGGCGTGGTCTGATATATACTTTGTTGTTGGAAGTGCGCTTGCTGATTGTTTGGGATGTTACGGCCGCCGTGGGGCGACATTGTGTCCGGGTTCGCGTTCACGTGCAACATCGGACCTGACAACGAGGTCGTGGAGGACGGCGAGCTTCGCGGTCTTTGCATGTAGGCCGTGTGAGTCGCCTGCTGGATACCGAGCGGGCTGCCCTGCTGTAGTTGGACGGACACGGGTGTTCCCGGCGTGGAAGAAGGCGTCAGGCTTCTCGTGGAATTCTGACCGGGCAAAACCGGCGTGCTGACTGTAGAATCCGGCATGGCCAGCAGCACGCCATTGCTGTTCACCGAGCACATATCCTTCGTGTTAGCCGATGGCGATCTCTTGCTCACTGAAATTTGCTGTTGCTTCGCGGTGTTTGGACTTTTGTGGCCGCTCTCGACCTTCACTCTCACCTCGCTCGACAATTTCTTCGTCACGCTCGGCGACGTCACCTCGCTCCCGTCTTGCGATCTCGAGTCGTCGTCCACTATCATCTTCTCGAACGAACTGGTCACGCTATTTGTGCTGCCGACGCTGCTGGCGCCGTTGCTGTTCGTGTTGAAGCCGGAATTACTGTTGTTGTTATTGTTGTTGTTGGTGTTGTTGTTGTTGTTGGTCGCGCCGGGCGTGTTGTTGTTGTTGCTGCTTCTCCGGCCGGACGAGCCTAAATCCGTAACGTCACCGGTCAGAGTGCTGCCGACGTCGCCCACGCCCGAAATATCACAGTTATGACAACTCTTCTTTTCGTCACTATCGATAGATAACATCTTATCGCCTTTAGATTTCTCCATCCCGTCCGAAGTAGACCCGTCCTTTTCATCGCCGTCTTCTTTGCTGAGTGTTTGCCGTTTGTGTTTCATCCGTCGGTTTTGGAACCAAACCTTTACCTGAGAGAACGAGATCTCATTTAGTTCGTAACTGTTAAACATAGATGATAGGAGTTAGGGGAGCATATTGATACTTGCATAATGAGCAAGATATTTTTATAATATTTTAAAAATTGTGTGAAACTGTTTACAGTGGAAACAAGAAGCACAAAGGCAGAGTAATATGGGAGAATTTTAAAATGGAATTGTTTGATTTGAATCGTTTTACCTGTCTCTCTGTAAGATCCAACGAAGCAGCGATCTCTATTCTTCGCGGCCGACAAAGATATTTGTTGAAATGGAACTCTTTCTCTAACTCAAGGAGTTGTGTATTTGTATAGGCAGTTCGCAATCTTCTTGGTAGGCCGTTCTCTGCAATACAAAAGTTTCCAACTAACGTAATCATGGCAACTAAAACATAACGTAATATATGTCTTTCAAGTAAAAAGGGACGATTTAGTCGTCGTAGTTGTATGAGCTCGTATATTTTTATATTTTGAGAAAAACATCGTACGTATTAGTATTTCGTGAATGCCATAAGGATATATCTAAGCCATTATCTAAGCTATCTAAGCTATCGGTCCATTTTCAATCATTTATCATTTTTAGTTATATTTTTTACGCAGATACGTTAATTCTCGCGCCTTGATATTTGCTTCGTCTTTGCTACCTAACAGTGTCCTTTTTTTTTGTCTATTGCAGCAAGTAGTGGTATCCTAATTAATGATCATTTAAGCAAGCTAGAAAGGGGGAGTGGGGATGTGACATGACATCCTTAACAATGTATGAGCGAAGATTCCCGTGCGGCGAAGAGGCCCATTCTGGTGTTGTTCCGGCGGGTTACTCGACTCCTTACAAACTTTTGGGCAAGTTTCCCACCGGCACTATTCCATGTCGATGCGAAACACCTCCTAATTGTTATCGGACAAGAAACTTGTTCCGCGATAACAAGAGAAATACCGCGCGGGGTCTTGAAGATGAGGAAGCAATGGGGGGGGAGGAGAGGGGACGGGCGAGGAGACGGTGCGAGGAAGCATCGCGGTTCATATAGGATGGATCTGGTCTAGAAAGTAACGACTAAGCACCTCACGGTGCTTGGTCGAGACACGTGGCGTAAAAATAATTTCTACCCAACTGCCGTAAAAGCAATTATTAATAGCCGTCTGTCGTAACCGCACGGAATCCGCTGCATGCCTGCAGCAATAATATTTCAGTCTAACTCGATAGCTCCGTTAGTTTGCGTTGTTCGTAAGACGAGTCATGACAATGCTTCTTAGGAATAACGCATGAGCCTTGCCATGAACATTCGAGAAGCTTGTGTGTATCTCCTTGTCGTACGAATTTATCATATTGCACGTATCGCACGAATGTCTCGTACTGTTCGATCATCCAAGAGTGTAGGAAAGATCTTAACCGGTGTGAACATCGCGTGGGAAGTATTGTATATATTCTATCGGTTATTGACCACCTGGACTCTTTTTTTTTTTTTTATCAAGGATCAGGGGTGTTACACTTTTTTTACGCGTCGCCGTATCACGAAAGGAAAAAAAACCGATACGGCGTGACGCAGTTCGGACGAAGGGGCACAGCAAGGGGGTGGTTCGTTTCGTAGGCTCGAGATGCTAAACTACCCCATAGCGTGCGAGCGGATGTAAGGGTGGCTGAAGGGTGGTTCGACAGTAGGATGAGTCGTCAGGGGTTAAAGAAGAAAGAGACGGAGCGTAATCGAATGAAACGGAAAAAGGAGACATAGAGATGACGAAAGGTAAAAAGAGGAAGATACAGTGACTGGGAAAGGTTCGGGGAAGGTGTGTGATTAGAGACAGTTAGATAGGAAGATGGAGAATACAGAGGAGAGAGAAAGAGAGGGAGAGGAGACACTTGGGGATAAAGTGAGAGAAAGCGAAAGAGAGCGAGAGAGCAAGAGAGCGAGAGAGCGAGAGAGCGAGAGAGCGAGAAAGCGAGAGAG